CACTGGATTGCACCCCTGGGCTGGGCAGGGACACCTTCCCCCATGCCAGGCTGACCCAAGCCCCAGTGTCCAGCCTTGGGCACTGCCAGGGATCCAGGGGCAGCCCCAGCTTGTGGAGTGGGTGACTTTGAGGTCCCTTGCAGCCCAGAGCACTGCAGGTTTCTGTGGCTGTGACTGGAGGAGGGGCAGCATCACCTCAGCCCAGCCACATCCCCAAAAACCAGCCCAGCCCTGCACAGAGGGTGGCTCTGCACAGAGGGACACGGCCAGCAGCTCTCAGGGCACGGCTGGTGGACGTGGCCCTGATTCTCCAGCGAGCTGTAATTCCAAAATTGAGGCTGTGTTGTCCCAGAGCAGTCCGTGTGCTCCGGGAGCAGAGCAGGAGCAGAACCTGGCAGCCCAGGGGGCAGCGTGGATGCAGCAGATCCTGTCACACCTGGATCCTCCCCCACTGCAGCCCTGCCCAAGGTCAGCACATCAAGGGTCTGACTGATCCGTGGCTGATGTGCTCCACATCTGATCAGCTTCTCATTTCCCCCGTATATTTCTGCTGGGGATAAAGCTAATTTAAACAGTCCTTAATTGTTATGATTTTGTAAACAGTGTCTTAAACACAATAGACACAAAACTCTCAACAAATTGCTGGAGGAGATGTGACAGAATAGGGAATCATTTTCATATCTTCTGGGATTGCCCCAAATTGAAGCTTCTGGTCTGATGTTAGAAAATTGATGCAAGGATTTTTTCAGCAATATATCCCCCAAAGCCCTATTAGTGTGGGGGAAGGAAAATGGCCTGGATTTTTGAAATGAAGAAAAGAGAAAGAAGGAGGAAAAGAAGGATGGAAAAGAAAGGAGAGGAAAAAAAGAGGGGATAAAGAGAAGGAAAAATAAAGAGGGAAGGGAAGGGAAGGGAAGGGAAGGGAAGGGAAGGGAAGGGAAGGGAAGGGAAGGGAATAAACCACACTCATACATGACTACGTATAGAGGAAACTGAAAAAAGCTCCCACAAGTACAGATATAAAATGAAATTTGCCTCCATCAGAGCAATCCCAGGCATCATCCATGGAAAAACACTTGGCCAAATTAAAACCTTGAAGTAATTGGCTGCTCATGGTGGTTTACTCAGTGTTTTTTGAGATGATTGTCAAATGCAATTAACTGGCATAAAAGTCGTGATATGAACTTCCTCCTAACCATATTATTTGGAAATGCGCTCAGTATTTATAAAGATGTGAAAAAAAAATGTTTATTAGGTGCTCTTTAGGTTAGGATAATTATATATGCACTAAATATAATGAGATGAAACTTCGGCAGCAGTAAAGAAATAAAGCAATAAACTGTACAGAAACTGAGCCCAGGCAGTCAGTGTGTATTTCTGTTATAGCTGATGCTCAGCTCTCTTTTGTGCCCCCAGCTCGGTTTTTTCCCTTCGTATTTTAATGTTTTTTATGGGTAAAATCATTTTATGTGCTTATTTTGTGTGAAGGCTGAATATCTAAGCAAGATAAATTAATGTATCAAAAGATTTAGCTGCATTTCATATGTAAAACTTGGTTGTGCTTAGAGCCTAATACTTGCTCCCTCCCACTCACATTTTACATACAAATCACTACATTTCCTAAAACTTCTGTAGAGTTCTTCATTTGCAGCTCAAATCTGCAGCTGAGGTAGAAATAAAGTCTAGAGTTAAGGAAATCCACATGAAAATTCAGATTTCAGTGGAATTGAGGTCTAAAGTCTGTCACTGAAAGCAGAATTTCAACTGAGGATTCTCAAGGGCTGTAGGTACCGCTGGAATGGGATATTTGGTGTCCTGGGAACAAATTTGGGGCAGGAATAGTCCAGCAACAGAAAAAAAACAAGGGATTTTTGGAAGATGTGGGATGCTCAGAGTCTCTGTGGTTAATTCAGAGCCTTCAACAGCAGCAGAGATGAAATCTTGGGATTGCAGCCAGGGAGAGTCATGGAACTGCGGAGTCCCAGCATGGGCTGGGTTGGAATGGACCTTAAAGTCCATCCAGAGCCACCCCTCAGGGGCTGGGACACCTTCCAGGGCTCCAGCCTGGCCTTGGACACCTCCTGTGACTCCCCTGCCCATGGGAATTGCCTGTCCTGAGATATCCAGCACTGTCCAGCCCTCTGTGCCAGCCAGGCAGGGAGGGAAGGGAGATCTCCCCTCCAACGAGCTGGGAGCAGCCTGGCAGAACAGATTAATTGGGACCTGCCGTTAATCTGTGGTTATTCCTTCTTGCACCAAGGGCTGGGGTAATCCCAGCTCTGCGCTGAGAAGTTGTGCCCCAGAAGTGGCACCCCCTGCCAGGTTAAACCAGAGCCCCAGGGGATTTAACCCTGGGAAACTGCAGCTGCAGCAGGAAAGCTCCAAGACCCAAGGTCAAACCGGCTTTTTCCTTGTTCTCCCCATTCCCTGTGAGCGTGGATTGCTCCCATCCCCTGGGATCTGCCATGGGAAGAGGTGCTGGCCACCCTCTGCCTCCCTCAGCTGAACACTGGCCCTCTCAGGGATACTGGGAGCATCCCCAAAATGCTGCCTGGTGGGACAGTGGCCCCAGCACACATCTGGATCATCCCTGCACACCAAAACCCTGTTACAATTCCCCAAAGGGCAGAACTGCTGCCCCACTGCACATCTGGATCACTCCTGGATGCTGAGATGCTGTCATGATTCCCAAAGCAGGGAATGGTTGTTCATCTGCACATCTGGATCTCTCCTGAGCACTGAGATCCTGTCATGATTCCCAAAGCAGGGCACAGCTGCCCCACTGCACATCTGGATGCTGAGATCCTGCTGTGATTCCCAGGACCTTTGGGAACACACCTGGCTGGGTGCATTTGGCTCTGTTTTCCCAAGGCCCAGGCAGTGCAGGAAGGGGAAAGGGACCTTGGCTTTCCTTCCTGCTCCACCAGGAGCTCTCCTGCAGAGCCTCGGGCTGGCTGTGAGAATCCTCTGCTGCTCAGGCCCAGGATGGAGGGAGTTTGGAGATCCAGGGATTCCAGCTGAAGGCAAAGACCTGTGAAGAGCCCAGCCCACGGCAGCTGAGCTCTGGTCCTGACAGGAATTCCAGGTTTCCAGCTCACCCTGTGGGGTGAGACCCTTGGGAGCTGCTCCAGGCACGGGAGGGATTTTTGGCTGCTTGTCACCTCCAGGCACTGCCCTGCTGGCTCAGGGTGGCACCCTGAGAACCTTCAGCTGCTCTTTTACTGCTCTTAGGAGGAGCCCAGGCCACCAAGCCCCTCATTCTGTTCCTTGGAGAGTCTCTGGCTGCACAGAGCGGGCCAGGGACAGGCTGAGGGACCACAGGACAGCTCCTGTCCACCTCCAAACCTGCAGGACCACACAGAAAATGTGCCCCGTGACAGGGAGGGAATTAAATTAAACCTTGGTCACCACCTCAGCAGTAATTCTGAATCCTGCAAACTCTTCTGATGTCTTACTTGGAAAGTCCAAACACAGTTCCAGACTCATTGAGCAGTGGCTCACCAGCACACGAGCATAAGGAACAAAAGCACCCGTGGCCATCTGGATCACTCAGAGGAAAGATGCACCTTTGAATCACATTCTTATTTGTGCTCAGCTCATCCGAGTCACTCTGAAAAACCAAATTATTAAGACACAGGAAGCATGAGGAGTCCAAGACCATGAGTGTATCTGCCTTTGTTTTTTTGTCTCTTAAGTACATAAAAAAGCAAAGCATCTGTTAGGAGCAGAGGGAAGTTTAATTGTTTTGGCACATTCCCTGGAGCTCTTGGATGCGGTGGGACCCTGGTGCTGGAGCTGCTTTAAAGTTCCTGGGCAGACACAAGGACAGCTCAGAACCCAGCAGGGGCTGGATTTTAAGGACGAGTACCAAGACCAAAGAGAAGAGAACACCATTTCAACCCTATTTCTCTATTTTCTTTTTTTTTCCCCTCAGGAAGGTAAAAAAAATAAACAGAATGAGTAGGCAAGAACATCGGGGGCTGTCAGTTCAGGCTCAATAAATACTGCTGCAGCACTGATGAGTTTAAAGCTGACACTCTTCCTCCTGAAGTGTTTGGAAGGCAGAAAATGAAGCCCTAAGAACACAGTCATACCATGGAAGCAATTTGCAGGCTGAAGAGATGCCTGCCTCCTCTGGGAAGAAGAAACCCCTAAGGTTTTAGGTGATCTTTCCATGGGCAATTGTTCCCCCACCCTCCTTAGCAGCAGGGAGATTTCCACATGTGAACACAACTTGCAATAAATCAGCTCCAGAACAGTCAGGATGAGGTTTCAGGATTCAAAACAAACACCAGGACAAAAAGAGTAACAAATACAGAGACTCAGCACTGCCAGAAGTGACTGAGATGAGATTTACTGAGAGCTTACAGCAGGAGGAACGGATCACACTCCAAAGGCAAAGGGCTCAGGGAGGGACACGGACAGGACCCAGACAAGGCAGCAGCAGAAGAGGGAAGGAAGCAGAGGGATCTGCCAGAAATTGGTCTGACTGCACAGAGACTGGGGAACAGGGATTTGGGTGGCAGGGACTGGCCTGGGGCTGGATGGAGCCAGGAGCTGCCAGGGTTTGGCTGGTCCATGGTGGCTCCGAGGGAGAGGGGACACAGCCCAGGCTCCACTGCTGCTCTGGGAAACCCAAAGGAGGGGACAGAGGGCTGGGGGACAGGGCTGAGCAGAGAGAGGCAGGTTCTGGCCATGGAGGAAGCAAAGAAACATCTCCAGGCTGGGACGAGGTGGAGGAAACCAAGTGGGGAACAAAGGAGGATCTTGGAATTAGACACGAGGCTGATCAGCACAGTTAGAAAAGACTGGGCCATATTTCCCTGTGCACACTATTGAAAATATGGTCCTGTGTTTAATGTTAATGGGAATCATCAGCCATGCAGCACTGCCAGAGGAATATCTCCATTCACATTAAACACACTTTGGTACCAGTAAATGTTACTGGCTGGCAGAGGAAAGTTACAACGTGTGTAATTTTGCTCTTTGCTTTCTCTTACCATGTGTAGGTGTCTGGGTGGCACTGTTTAGTATCAGGTGATTATAATTTTGTTCTTGGTCATCTGAAATTCACAGAAAAAAAAATCCCTTTAAGAACCAGCTTAGCATTGCCACTGATCTGCAGATGATAATTACAGCTCACAGTATCACAGGAAATCTCAGCATGATTAAAGAAAGGAGAAGGAAATGCTTAAGAAAGCAGAAGATTTTGTTATGCAGTTCACTTAAAATTCCAGATGCAAGGAGAGCAGGATAATGGGAATCTGCTCCCCTTCTGCTGAGCCTGCAAATGAGGGCTCTCTGCAAAGGTGAGAAACACAGACAGGAGCACACCCAACTGGAGCCCAGGGTGGGCTGCTCTTGGTGCCCCATTCCCCTGCTCCAGCTCCATCCAGAACAGGCCCTTGGAGCTTTGGGGCTTTGCAGGATGTGGGCCCCAACCACCCAAACCCAGACTGCCCCACTGTGAGCACAGCCACGACACCACATCCTGTGTGAGCAATGAGAGGAGTCCAAGGTTTGGCCTCGTGGAGTTAAACTGATACCTCAGTTTCAGCTGTGACATTTCCCAGGTTCTGCACTGGTTCCTAACTCTGATCTCCACACAAAGTGTCAGCAAGGTCTCCTCACAGCTCAGGCACACACAACAATCCTTCTCCAGCCCCACAGCCAAGGACACCGCTGCAGCTCCAGGCCCAAAAAGTGCAACCAGCAGGGAATTGAGGAGAGCAACCTGGGAGGATGGGACTGCATCACCTGCAGCTGCAATTGCACAATTCAGCCCAACTGGAAATGGACCAGAACTGATCCAAGGGTGAAACTCCTGAGCCAGGGCCCATCCTGGCTGCAACCAGGGCCGGGCTCTTGCAGTGCCCAAGGTGCATCCTTGGAAGGGCTTTTAATAAATCCCTGCTTTATTCCTTTAACCCTGCCCAGCCTCTCCAGGCACCAAAACAGCTGCACATGAGCTCTGGATCCCCCCTCAGGAAAGGGGAATCCTGTGAGACTGAGGCAGCAGTGCAGGGAAAGCAATCCATGGCACAGACACTGCTGGAACTGGGGCTGGGAACTGCCTTTGGGGTGGAAAACAGCTCTGTCTCCTTCTCACTGTAATGAAAACGTCAGATAAGGGACCCCTGATAAATCCACCACCTTTAGTTTCCATTCAGGAATCCTTGCCCAGATCTTCCCAGCATGGATGGAGCTGCAGCAGTGAGAGGAGATCTCCAGGGACCCCTCATGTCCTGCTCTGCTGCTGCAGGGCATTGCTCCAGTGGCTGCTCTGCTACTCCCAAACCTTTCATGGATATCTCCTCTCCCCCAGAAGATCTGGGTCACCAAGTCTTTCTTTCTGCTTTTCAGACCAATTCCTTCTTTCCAGTGGAAAAAGGAGACATGGGATCTTTCTCCAGGGATGTGGAGAGAATCCCCCTTATTTCCACCACAGCACTTTGTGACCACAGCTGCTGTGTGCTCCCTTATCCTTCATTTTACCCTTGTCCTTCATGCTGACACCATTGCTTTCCTGTTTCCCTGTAAAACCTGCTCTGCCTCAGGTCCCTGTCACTCCAGAACCCTTTGCTCCCCCTGAGCCAGATCCTCCTCAGGGCTGGGATGTGTTTCTCAGAGAGCCCTAACCAGGACAGAGTGGAATTCCTGCATTGTCCCAGCTTCTCTTGCTCACACAAGTAGTGATATTTTAATTTTCCTGTAAAGTCTGTGATCCTTTATGGCTCCTTATTGCTTTTCCAAGGAACTCTCCAATTGTTCTCCAACACAGAAAAGGCTTTTTAGCATTCCTGCTTCAGCCCGAGGCATCTCATTTTTCTCCATTTAATCAATTTATTTTCAGGCTATTTATCCAATTTGTCAAGAACATTTTAAATTCTAATCCTGTTCTCTAATAGACTTACGGTCATCCAAGCTTCATATCACCTGCAAATTTAATAAGCAAATTCCTTTTCCACCAGGAACAGAGAAACTAAATCCAGAACCACATCAGGCCATCCTTCCCCTGATATTTGGTCCCTGCATGGTCACTCAACCCTCATGACCTCCACCCCAGACAGGTTCATTAACACCCTGCTTCTCTAATTAATCTCACATTGCTTTGCTAGAAACTGCTGGAAGCCTTGCTAAGGTCATGATCCTTGATATGAATTATTTCTCCCTGGCCATAAAACACAGCAAAAATAATAAAAATAAGGTTAAACTGCCATTATTTGTTTCTGAGTGTTGGCTGCTTGTTTTTCTCTCTCCCTCACTATGGGGAGTGTCTGGGTGCAACCAGGATTAAAATCAGAGTTTATTTACTCAGGTGACAACAGACTGGGCATCTTCACCTGCTTCCTGCTCCACCCAGAACTGAGGCACTCCTTATATCCAGACAAATGGAAAAATGGAAGGGTTTTAGCCTGGCTGCAAGCACGAGATGAGCAAACCTTGAGAGGAGCTCAGGTCCACAAGGACACCTCAAGTGCCCGTAAATAAGTTCCCTACAGGTTTCCCTAGTTTGAATTTTCCTCTCGTGCCTTCACTGTTGATTGTTTTCAACAAGGAAAAAATGTGCAGGAACTCATTTTGTGACTTTGTTTCAGTTTCTGTTCCTCCATGTAGTCAAATTTCAATTTAATGTGAAAACTGGACCAGAGGATGGAGGACAAAGAAGAAACTGGATATTTCTGGAATCCTTTTAACTGTCTGCAGGGATTTTCAGAGCTATGGGATCAGATGGGTTAATTTTCACCTGGTTCCCAGCAAGCACGGTGTGGATTCCTGCTCATCCCTGGAAGTGATCAAAAAACACATGGATGTGACATTTGGGGATGTGTTTGGGTGACCATGGAGGTGCTGCTGCATTGGTGGCTGGACTGGATGACCTTAGAGGTCATTTCCAACCTGAGCAATCCTTACTGCAACCCTGTGGACTCTGAGGGAGATTTTTCTGGATGTTTGGGTGGAATTTTGTGTGTTAGGGTTTGTGCCCTTTGCCCTGGCACTGGGCACCACTGGGAAGGGACTGGCTCCACCTTCTTTGTTCACTCCTCAGTTCTCCCACAGAGAGACCCCCTGAGCCTTCTCCTCCCCAGGCTGAGGAGCTCAGTCCCTTCAGCACCTTCTGGACCTTTGCTGGACCTGCTCCAGTTCAGCTGAGGCTGAACTTTTACCTTTCATATTTTCCAGATTCTGGCCTGCACTGGTACCTAACTCTGATCTCCACACCAAGTGTCAGCAAGGTCTCCTCACAGCTCAGGCACACACAACAATCCTTCTCCAGCCCCACAGCCAAGGACACCGCTGCAGCTCCAGGCCCAAAAAGTGCAACCAGCAGGGAATTGAGGAGAGCAACCTGGGAGGATGGGACTGCATCACCTGCAGCTGCAATTGCACAATTCAGCCCAAGCTGGAAATGGACCAGAACTGATCCAAGGGTGAAACTCCTGAGCCAGGGCCCATCCTGGCTGCAGCCAGGGCCGGGCTCTTGCAGTGCCCAAGGTGCATCCTTGGAAGGGCTTTTAATAAATCCCTGCTTTATTCCTTTAACCCTGCCCAGCCTCTGCTCCAGGAGCCTCTCCAGGTACCCCTGCCCTGCCCCCCTGGCCCCATTCCCGGGCTGCATCCCGGGATGCTGCTGCCTCCTTTGCCACAAGGGCGCATCGCTCCCTCATCTTCCCCTTGCTCCCAGCACGAATTCCAGCGGTTCTTTTAGCCCCGTTTTTTACCTTATTTATACGTTCTTCAATCTATTTTTGAGCTTGCAGAGCAGCTGGTGAGTAAGGAGCCCGCTGTATTTACTGTGACCTCTCCCTGATGACATTTGGAGCTGATAAGTTCGAGCATGACTGAATCCACAGACACCTCTGTCCTGCAAGCCTTGGGAAGATGAATTTCTCCATCCTTCCAGAAGCTTTTGGAGGAGCTAAAGGAGGGCAGGGACTTCCAGCAAAGCTCATTTACAGCAGCAAACAGCTGAACCCCGAATTCTGTGTGTGCTGTTCCCTGCTGCTCACACGCTGCGGGAGCTGCCAGGTGAGAGGGGACACGGAGATGGGACACTCCAGGTGTGAAATGCCGGCTGGTAGAAGGAACAGACACAACCTGAACACACCAATTGTTCCAGAAGGGAACCAGCAGAGGTTTCTCTCCTCTCACGGGTCACTTATTCCCACAACCTCACTCCTGGGGAAAACTGGCTCTTCACTGAGGACAGTTGCACCTGAATTGAAACTATCGTCTTCTGATTCTGAGCCACTTTTCACCTCAAATCCTTTCCTTTCCTTTCTCCTTTCCTCTTTCTCCTCCCTTTCCTTTCCTTTCCTTTCCTTTCCTTTCCTTTCCTTTCCTTTCCTTTCCTTTCCTTTCCTTTCCTTTCCTTTCCTTTCCTTTCCTTTCCTTTCCTTTCCTTTCCTTTCCTTTCCATTTTTATTTCCTCTATAAAAACCTCAGGTGTTTCGAGGCTCCTGCTTCAGCAATGTCAGAACCTGAATTATCGGCATTTTGATGTGGCTGAGCTAATCAAGCATCTGAATGCAGCACTGGGCTTAATTTACCACTTCTGTAGCCCTTTGTAAACACTTTCTAAGCAATAAAACACTTTAAAATGATGGCTGAGCCTTCCTACACCTCTTCAGGTTTAACAAGATAATGCTGTTAATTGTGAAGTGCCAGTTAGGCAGAAGCTTATCTATTGTTGAGACAAGGATCTGAGTTCAAAGCTATTTACCAGGAAACTCCATTAGGGGAAGAAAGGAGCCACAGGGCTCTGAATTGCCAGGCCACAATAGGAAATTTCTGAGCGCAGCTGGAGGAGCCATCAGATAAAATAACCAGCAGAAAGAGTGAGATGTTTCACTGGAAAAAAGGAAAGCGGTGCTCTCACTCCTTTGCAAACACGTGCACAGAAGACACGTTCCTTCCCATTTACACTTTATTATTTTATTTCTTTTATTAAATCCACAAGTGTTCTCACTTTTAGCCTTCCAGTTCTCCCCCCATGCTGTTGGCTGCGTGGGGCTGAGTTCCCGGCTGGGGTTAAACCCCAGTCCCCACCTGAATTATCGGCAGCAAGGTGCAAAACCCTGGGTAATGTTAAAGAACACTTTAAATAGCCCGCAAAGGGTTCCCACTGCACTTCCTACCCCGAAAATTCTCCTTTTTTTCCACAGATTTAACCTTTCCTTTGGTACTTGGTTTTAGTCTTCTCTGGAGTCTGTTTTTTTTCCACACTCAGGGTTTTCATATGGGAATACCAATAATAAAAATTTGATTTATTGTGTTCTATAATGGAAAAAAAAAAAATCAAGTATAAGAATATTTAAAGAAAATGCTATATTTTCCAGCCTGTCTTTCCTAATAAAATTCCTTATGAAAACTGCAAAGCAAGGATATTTTTAATATATGCCAAGCGTATTACAGATATATCTGTAACTGTAATACAGATATATGATCATTCTGACAGTCAAGCGATACTTTGCATTCCTTTTAGAGAAATCATTAAAGTGCTGGGAACTGCTCGGAAATCTGTAGTTAACAGGACAAAAGAAATGGCCTTAAGAGGAACCATCAGCCTGGGAAGGGATGCAGGGAAGGGGCAGAATCCTCATTCCTGAAGGGATTTAAAAGAGGGGTGGATGTGGCATTTGGGGATCCGAGTTAGTGGTTGGACACTTGGAAGCCTTTTCCATCCTAAATGATTACACAAAAAACAATTCTTTGCCTCCTGTCTCTCTGGTCTGGACACCAGAACTGCTGAGATTTCCCGAGCAGGATGGAACCAGCAGTTGTTGTGCTGATGACAAGAAACCTCTTGATATCCGCACTAATGAGGAGAAAATGCCTTTCCAGGGCTGATCCTCTCCAGGAGGCTGGAGGAGCTGAGGGGGATCTGAGCCCGAGGACAGGAGGAAAGCAGCCCAAAAGCTGCTGAGGAGAATGGAAATGCTTCCAGAACAAAGCTCCTCGTTCATCAGCCACCGGCCCCCTCCAGCATTTGCTGTTCACAATTTGTATTCCAGAGGGGAAGCCTGGAGCAAACGCCCTTCAGCTGCTGGATGGTCAAGCAGAGCTGGAAGGGGGGAGGCACCAAGCCTTTCCCCGGGATTTTGGGCAGTGAGAGGGGGAATGAAGCCCAAAGCCCCTCCTGAGCAGGGCTCAGAGGTGATGAGCACAGGAATATTTAGCTTAATAGATGGTTAAAGCCCAGCTGCCTTTCGTGCACACGAGGCAATAGTTAATTCCTTCATACTCCTGTGCTGTGAATATCCTGCTTGCAGAGGGTTTCTGCACCTGCCTGGCTCTCCCCAAGCACGCTGACCCCTCAAAATGGACTGTGGCAAGGGGCAAACGAGACAAACCCAGGAGTTAAGCTGCTGATAGAGGCAGACATTAGAGGGGCTGGAAATGCCAAATGAAAGGTTGTCCCCAACCCCTCCGTTTGATGTTCATTATGTCAGGTTTTTGTTCTACCATCCCAACCTATTTTTCAACAGTAATCCTGTGACTCATTCATTGAACAGGATGCTCGGGGAATAAGGCAGCTATTCAGGAGTTATTTTAATCCTCATTAAGCGGTGAATGGCCCTGTTCTTTAGTATCCCACGCTATCCAAATCCTGCACTGATTATGGAACTGTTATTTTCCATGTCGGCTTTTCCTCTCCACCCATCCGAGCCTCACAAGCAGCTCCCAGACTCCGGTGGCAGGCAGGGTGGGGGCTGCCAGCCCAGGCTGTACCTGAGCCCAGAACAGGTGTGCTCACACCTGCCAGCCTTTATTCCTTTTGAGGAACAGCTCAGGAAAACTCGGGGCAGGTTTTTCGTATCACACAGGGGATTTTGAATAGGATTTTGCAAGCAGAAATCAGCTGCTAATTAATCATGCCCCTTTTGTGGGGGTGGAAAGGCAGCTGGAACAGCTCCTGGCTCACCTGGGGGGAAGATAATGAAGGCAGGTGGAATCTCTGGCCACACAATAGGAGCTGTGGGACTGGAAATGCTCCCCCAGCCCAGTTCAACCCCAGGTTTGTCACTCTCCATCCCAGCCAGGGTAGTGAGGGCACAACCTCCTGGTGAGGGGCACCTGATGGAGCTGAGGGGGCTCAGCCTGGAGAAAAGGAGGATCAGGAGGAACTTCTGGCTCTGCACAAGTCCCTGGCAGGAGGGGACAGCCGGGGGGGTCGGGCTCTGCTGCCAGGGAACAGGGACAGGAGGAGAGGGAGCGGCCTCAGGCTGGGCCAGGGGAGGCTCAGGGGGGATATTGGGAGAATTCCTTCACAGAAAGGGTGGTCAAGCTTTGGAAGGGGCTGCCCAAGGAGAAGGTAGATCACCATCCCTGGAAGGGCTCAAAATGTGTGTGGATGTGGCACGTGAGGATGTGGTTTTGGTAATGAACGAGGTGCTGGGGCTGGGGTGATGCTTGGGGACCTCAAAGGACTTTTCCTACCAGAATGACTCCAGACTCTGTGGCTCATTGGAGCCCAACACTTTGGAAAACTGCACTGGAGGTGCTGGAAACTTTGGGGAGTGAGAAACCAAAGGGATTTTGAAAGGCTCTGATCAACTCAGCCTCCCCCAGATCCATCCCTGGGCAGACCCTGCTGCTCCAGCCCCATCAGCAGAGCCTGCCAGGGGTGCCCAGCACCCAGTACTGCTCTGGGAGGTGCTGGCACAGCAAGGGCAGGCAGGAGGTTGGTGCCTCTCAGCCCTGGAGCTGCTGCAGGCTCCTCAGCAGGATCTGCACTCTGGGCTTGGCTGCAGGAACTCCCTGGCAGTGCCAGGAGGGATGTCAGGGTCAGCTGGACAGCACCCAGTGCTTTCCCTGGAGCTGCCACTCTCCCCTGCCCCTTCCAGCAATGCTCCAGGCAGGGATTTCACCTGCAAAGCACCCACCGAGTGCCTGAAGGCTGTGAGTGAACATTGCACTGGAGACCTCAGCTCAGTCTTTTGCTGCTTTTTTGACGCCTTGTTTTTCCAGTTTGGGTTGCTTTTATTCCTTATTTTAAGGCCATATGAAATGAAGGCTCAAAGGAAATTGAAGAAATGAAGTAGGAAGTGAATCAAAGAATCAGAGAATGTCCTGAGCTGGGAGGAATCCACTGGGATCATGAGTCCAACTCCTGGCCCTGCCCAGACCCCCCAACAATCCCACCCTGGGCATCCCTGGAGCGCTGTCCGAGCTCTCCTGGAGCTCTGGCAGCCTTGGGAATGTCACCATTCCCTGAGGATCCTGGGCAGGGCCAGCACCCTCTGGGGGAAGAACCTTTCCCTGAAATCCAACACAACCCTGCCCTGACACAGCTCCACCATGTGCAACTGCAGGTGGAAAACACTTGGCTGCAATGGGCACTGAAGTTCTGCAGGTTATGACTGAGAAAAATAAAGAAAAAAATTAAAAAAAAATCAGCAAGGCCCACCAAGCTGCGTGGTGGGAAAAAAATCCTTCTCCCTGAAATATCTGAGTGAAAACAGGAGCGGGGGGAGGATGTTCTCGTACAACAGGGCTTGGGGTTCACTCACAAAAATCTGTCTCCTGTGCTGAAAAGCTGCGCAAATCACACACTCATTCACAGTGGATTCTCCTCCTCCCACACAGCCCTCGTATCCACGGTGGAACATGGAAACCAGGCCCACTCCCGAGCTCCCTACACACCAACATATGTCTCCCTCCCAGCACATCCCTGCAGCTCCTCCCCAGTGCCAAACTGCCAAAGCAAGCTGCAGGCCAGAGCTAGGCATGAGGAAAATGCAACTTCTGTTTTCAAGCAGCTACAGCTAAAAAGGGCACTTGCAGAAAAAAAAAAACAAAAAAAAACAACCAAAGCCATGAGAAAAATATTTCCTGATCTCGGCTTTAAAGTGATGTTTTTATAAACAGCAGCACAGTGGTGAATAAAGGTCACAGAGAGCTCCGAATCTCTCTCTTTCCAAGGAAGCTGATGCCTTCTGGAGCATCTTTGGGCAGGCTGTTGGCTTGGAAAAGAAATGGTTTTTCCTCCTCATGGACAGTGAGTGTGAGGTCTGTCCAAAGGGCAGCTTTTGCTGCTCTTCCCAGAGCCTGGCTGGCCCAGCACGGGAGGCTCTGGGAAAGGACATTTCCCTCATGGGGATCCCCCAGCAATGCCTGAGCTCCAGAGAGCAGCAGCCAGGTGCCCTCAGCCAGCTGGGAATGTCTGAACTCACCTGGAGCTGGAGTTCAGCTTCCCTCTGTAGCATTTCCTGCTTTATTTGCTCTGATTTTCATTGTTTTCACCTAACCCCTTGCTGTCCCTTTCTCACAGAATAAATCAAGAGAAAAAAGTGAAGAAATCCAAATGAAGAGAAAGAGCAAGAACTTTCTGTCTAGGAAAGTTCTGCAGAGCCCAGGGCACAAACCTGGCTGGTGTTGACAACCAGGATCCTCCCTGTGAGAACTTCACACTGCCTTGGAAACACAAATTGGATAAATATGGCCTGGTTTCCTCAAAAATCCAGCAGCTGAGCAGGCTGCAGGGCTGACATCAGCCAGCAGTGCACAGCAGCAGCTGGGGGAGCAGCCCTGGATGCAACCTTTGGAAACACATCCAGAATGTGCCACTCACGGGGAAAACATATGGTCAGGAGAGAACAAAATTGTCCTTTAAAGGGCATTGCTGGAGATGGAGTTGATTTGAGAAGGTATAAATAGTCTGGGTGTCTAAAGCAGGATTAGTTAAATGCAATCTTTGGTGGAAGGCAGCCAGCTCTTGCACATTCCGAGTGTTGAGATAATTATGCAAATACCTTTGGAAGTAACACCCGGTCCCTTTTAACCCCCCGGTATTGGCAGAAAGGAGAAGGGGACACAAAGCCCTGCTCTGGTTTTTCCCTCTGCCACAAAGTACAAAGAGAAAAAGCCGATGATGAAATCCCTGTGAGAAGGGCTCTCCACTGAGTCCAGGAGTGCTGGACCTCAAATCCACCTGGAGAGCAGAAATCCAGCCCTGCTCACTGCTTCCCCTTAGGGAACACCAGGGTCTGCCTGTCCCATCCCGACTGAAGAGAAGCAGGAATCAGCACAGAACTCACCTCCGAGCATAATCACAGGAAGAACAATCGGGTTTGTTTTCCCGTGGATCGAATGGCTTTGGATCTGTCTCCAGGTCCTGGCAGGGGGATGCAGACCCTGGAGAGGAGGGTGGCTCACAGCTTGCCCGGAGCCCAGCAGGGCTTTCCCAGCCTCAGGAATGATAAATGTCAGGTGTTAGAAGCAACACGACGATGCAGATAAATAGATTGAAGTTCCTAACTGGTTTTAAATCATTCCAAAGCCGTAGAAATTCACTTGCTCCTCATCTGTCAGCAAGGCATGGCCAGCCTGGAGGTGTCTGGGCAGAGAAGCAAAGACTTTCTGTTTCTGTGACACAGCAAGAGTGACTGTGAGGGGCCAGGAACGTGAGGATGTGTCTGTTGTGACGGCTTGGAATGAATTCCACCCTTTCGCTGATTCCTGGCATTTTGTTTTCCCTGGATGGAGGCTCGTTTGCATTCCTGTCAACTGCTAAACGTGGCTTTGGGCCAGTGCTTTCGGGACAATTAAGATCCAGATGCGATCGAGCACTGATCAGAGTCTTATCTCTAAGCAGATAAAGAAGTCCCCAGCACTAATCAAGCCCTTAAAATGAACCATGGCTGTAAGTGCTCTATTAAGGCACAAAGAAAGGGGCTCCGTGTTAGGGAAGAAGGGAGAGCTCTATTTAAATCCTAATCCTATCAGCAATTAAGCAGATGGTTAACTTTAAGCATCTGCTTAAGCCTAACTGAAGTCACGTTAAGAAGTGGCTTCCAAAACAGCGATTCTGTAGAAAGATCTGTGTGTGACAGTGCCCAAACCTCGCTGTGCACTGAGAATTCCCGGCTCTGTTCTGGCAGCAAAGGGAGAAGGTGGCACAGACTCTTTGAAAGAGCTGAGAACAGATCAGGGAATCCTGGAATGGGCTGGGTTGGGTTGTGAGGGACCTTAAATCCCACCCAGAGCCACCCCTGCCATGGCAGGGACACCTTCCCCTGTCCCAGGCTGCTCCAGCCCCAGTGTCCAGCCTGGCCTTGGGCACTGCCAGGGATCCAGGGGCAGCCCCAGCTGCTCTGGGCACCCTGTGCCCCCTCTGGCACTGGGAGCCATTCCCTGTGTCCTGTTCCTCCATCCCTTGTCCAAAGTCTCTCCCCATCTCTTTTGGAGCCCTTTTCCAGGTGCTGGGAGGCCACAACAAAACCATCCCAGAGCCTTCTCATCTCTAGGCTGCACAATCCCAATTTTCTCAGCCTTCCCAAGACATCCTAACTCTGACCACCAGCAGTGACATATTCCTGATATGAAGCACAGATTCTTGGGTATTTAATACATTCATACTATTTTAAAAAGAAATATTTAATTAAAAAAACCAAAACCTTTTTCCATACATTGTGATTAGAAATTTTCTGTTTGGGCAACTCAAAACCAGCTGGAATGACAAACAGCCTTTTTTTAAATATAGTTTTAAATCTTTTTGTTTGTAAGCCTCAGAGCAATTCAGATATTGTGAATATCAGATTACTGCTAAAGGGAAAGAACAGTTTAAAGTCCAGGTATTCCAGGAAAGCTGCCTTGATTCCAGTGTCCCAAATTGCTTGGAACAGTCAACACATCAGAGTAATGAGCCTGTCTTTAGTGACGATAAGTTACAGTATTTATCATTATTTAGGTCTGCTCAAACAGGTCTTATTTGGAAAAATTCTGTCAAGAACTACTGAAGCAACACCTTTAAAAGCAGCAGTAGTGCTTGTGGGATCCTGCTATCCCTTTCCATGGAAAAGGAGCATTCCCTGGATGTCCAGTTGTCCAGTTCACAAATCTTTCAAGCCCCAGCTTCTTGAATCCTTTGATTAGGTGGGAATCTCACTGATCTTTAGTTAAAGGAGATCACTGCCTCTCTTTTGTACAGACACAGCAAAAGGCAAACAAAAGACATCAACATTTATTTCTTCTGAACCTGTGGATTTGGGTTCAACCTCAGATTTATTTTTTTTTTCCCCAGTCTCAGTTGTGGTTTCTTTACCACGTGTGGTTGAAAGCCCCTGGATAACTCATGGAATATTTACTGCTTTCCTGTGGAAAGGGGGATCTGGCAGAGGACAGGATTTATTCAGCAGAGTGAGCTCTCTCCTGTAGGCAAAGCAATTCCCATTTATTTACTCACTCCCTGCCTTCCATGGGAATAGTTACGTTGGCAGATTGGATCCTCACCTCTGCTTGCTGGAACACAGCTTTTATTGGGTTTTATCGGGGTTTATTTCATTTTATTTCTGCACCAAACTCACCAAGGCCAAGCAAAGCAGTTCTGTGTTGACACTAACTGGTGCCAGCAGTGATGGCACAGGAGGAGAGGCTCCTGCTCCCTCCTCAGCCCTCAGGGAAATGATTCTCATCCCTCCCTCGTGCCTGTTTTTATAGGATCTGCAGGAAATTCCCTCTGCTTTTTCATTTGTCTGTTTTTGCCATCCAGGTTTAGCCAGCTCAGGTTCCTGATCTCACTTTTGTACAAAGATGGGAGGGACGGTGAGGGGATGGGATGGGATGGGATGGGATGGGATGGGATGGGATGGGATGGGATGGGGTGAACATGGTGATGCTGACACACTGCACTGCCCTCAGTCCAGATGCAAAGCCTGTCCCCTGAGGAAGGGTCTCCAAAATCAGGTTGGGGAAACTCTACCAAGTGCAAGGACTCATTTCATGTGGCCATTCCCCTATACCCAGGCTCCCCTCCCTTTTTTATTTAGCATCACATGTATTTATTCTGGTTTCTTTACCCAGATCGTGTCCAGATGAAGCTTTAAATGTAAGAAAGAAAATTCCACTGGAGAAATGCAGCTTCTTGGAGAAATAAAGAGCTGATACTTGGTGGTAAGTAGGTCTGGCATTTATAGTGTAAATGTGACAAGTGATGTGACAAATGATGTGAGAAGTGATGTGAGAAGTGATGTGTGCCTTTTATCCTGTGAATCCCAGCATGGGGGAGGTGGGGCAATGGGGATTCTCCCTGGGAAGGACTGGACTGGGTGTTGGGAGGCCCTGCTGGCTCCTTTTCTCTCTCCAGACCCATCTCCTGCTCCTCCATCCAGAGCCAGGCATGGGGAACTGCCCCAAACTGGGGCACTGACCAGCCAAAGCTTTTCCCACAGCTGATCCTTCCCACGTTTTGGCTGCCACAGGAACTGCTCCAGCATGGTGCCAAGGGGTGGAAGGCAGTGCTGAAGCTGCACGTGCTGCTGGAGCACTGAAAACCCCCAGGCTTAGAAAAATGAGGCTGCACAGATGGCTGGGAGCTGAAATCAGCTCGCCAAGAGCTCAACAGATACACCTGGTGTCATTTGCTGTCATAAAAGCCATATTTCAGCTGTGATCGTGTTTCGTGGCTCCTGGGCTGGGCTCTCCACACAGCAGGTGGTTTTTTTGTGGTGCAAAACCCTCCCAATGCAGCTGCAGGTGCAGAGCAAAGCACTGCCCCTGCCAGGCTCCACAGCACCAGCCGTGGCACGGACAGAAAAACCCTTCCAAGGACTACAGGCAGTAAACATTTGGAAAAAAGTGTAAAATCAGCATCCTTGAGGGGAAGGGGCTGCCCCGAATCTGAGCCAACATCTGTGGCAGGGAGAGGATTTGGGCTCTAAGAGCTGCTCCCCATCTGCTCAGTGGTTCCTGTGCTCAGATTTGGGGCAGGTTTCAGCTGAGGGCAGCTCCTGTGCAAACCATGGTTCCCAGAGCTTCCTGACACTTCAGGAACCTCACACTGCTTCCCAGGAACTTCACAGTGCTTCCCAGAGCTTCTCACTGCTTCCCAGGAACATCACACTGCTTCCCAGAGCTCCAAACTTCTTCCCAGGAACTCCACAGTGATTCCCAGGTGCTTCCCCACACTTCTCAGCACTTCCCAGGAACCCCCCACTGCTTTCCAGAGCTTCTCACTGCTTCTCAGAACTCCCCAGTGATTCCCAGGAACACCACACTGCTTCCCAGGAACTCCCCAGTGATTCCCAGGAATGGGGAATGCCACTCTGCTCCCCAGAGCCTGCCCAGCACATCCCAGTGAGCTGTTCCCCATCCCAGGGGTGGGATAGCCCTGGGAAATGCACACCTTGTTCCTGGGGGCACAGGGGTGCAGTGCCCCTGGGGGCTGTGGCTGAAGGGGCTCAGGATCCCCCCTGAGCTGGGTGGTCTCTGTTCCCCCTGCTCCCGGGGCTGCAGCAGCAGATCCTCCCTGATCTCTGATTTCTGGGTCCCATGGCAGCCACAGCTTTCCCTGTCCCTCACGGGAGAGCTCCAGGTCCCTCCTGCTCTTTGCCCTCTGCAGAGCTGTGTTTTGTGATCCTCAGTGCCGTGGG